CCTTAACAATGTATTATTATATTTACTTTTATTTTATTAATATAAAATACATATGTTATTATATATTATATTTATTACATATGTAATATGTACATATGTGAAATGTGCAACAACAGAAATTAGTGACCATGACCTGGACTGACTTCTGGGAGAATTACACCTATCGTAAGCCAAGGCAGCATCAGAGATTATGAACTTCAGCATGTAAGTGTCTTCAAGTGTCTTAAATCTGCCTTTAACTTGATAAGGCTACTATGAATACAGTCCACATTTCTTCCATGAGAAATAGTATGATGTTTACTACCCATACCCACATGAATACCATCTACTGCTACCCTTAACAACCAGAAAGCTGATAATCTCTGACATATTTCTCCCCAGATTATCAAAATACCTACTGGGCACAAGAGAGATTGCAATTACTATCTTTATGAAGTTATCTTTGACTACATTTAGATAGAAAAACCTTTCATATCATATTTTGTGTATGTTGTACCCTTCATGTATATAGCCAGTTAGAGAATGCCCTTTAACAGACCAGAGTTAGGACTCTACAGATGAAAAGTCCAGTCATTGTGGCCCTGAGATAGTGTTTTCCTTCTGGTACAAATCCTAATTTGAAGAATGTGTATCTACCATTTATGCTCCTATTCCTACCACCTTCCCATTCATTAAATCTCTCTGATGTCTATAACCAAAGCAACAGGAAATACTAAGAACAAGCACGTTAAGTCAATGTCAGGGTCACTAATTCAACTTCAAAGTTTTTGAAGTTGAATTTTGAAGTTGAAGTTTTTGTATTTCTTTTCCCAGATACTTTCTTGTCATCCACGTGGCATTGGACAAAACATTAATTGACTATTTGTGTCTCTGAGGGCAAAATGTATGCAAACAAGGAGCAAAATCAACACCAAACCCAAAAGTTTTAGAATAATTTAAAAGTGTCTCATCCTCAATTTCAACTGAAATCTAGTTCAGGTCAGATTGTCTCTCAGATTGAACCTGAACCTATACTACTATTCTGAAGATACACTGAAATCCAGTGGAAGTGCTTAAAAGACAGTTACAGTCAGCAGAGTAGTTTCTAAATGGAACTCCTTAAAAGAGATATGATTGATTTTGTTCCTTGAAAGAGTGCTCTGTAACTTCATACAAACAGAACAAAAGAACTCTCTAACAAAGTAACTCTGAATGCACACTAACATTACATTCATTTACATCCTTAGACAATAATAAGATATTTTGATTATTTTTGTAAGGAGGGACAAATATGATGGCATAATGAACAGTGATTATTACAAGACATCTGTCAGGCAATTTTGCTCTCAGTTTTTTTGAAATACCAACTTGTAATAACATATAACTTTGTGGAATCATAGGTTTTTAAAGCTGTTAATCCTTAATCTGAAAATTCTGTATCTACTGTAAAAAAATTTATCTTCTGTATAAAACTGTAAATGCTGCTATCTACAAGTTATTAACCTATGTCAGAAATTACCTGAAGTTTCTCAAACTCCTCTTGCTAGTTGGTAGTCTTGCAAGGGAAGTGAAAATTTCTTCTAGTATTAGCTGCCTATGTTTTTCATATCTGGAGAACACCTATTTAATAGTTACAGGATTGTTAGCAAATTAGTACATAAAATAACGTTCCTTAAATACATTTTAAAAATTACATGTAGAAACATACACTTTACATGATGCTTTCATGAACTGTAATTAATGCATACCTTATTTTTAAGGCACTACTTTGTTTTTTCAAAGCAAACATTTCTTTATAAAATACATCAAAACTTTTTGAAATCTAGATTCTAAAAAATCTTCAAACAACATAAATGTGTAATAGCTCTCAAAAATACTGTATATTTTAAAAATTTTTGACAGTGGTAATATCCACTGTATATGAAAGTCAAATAGTGTAATACTAAGCTTTCGGACTCCTGTCCAGAATAAAACTCTGTGGTAACATAAATTACATAAATACATGTAAGTGTTGTAGAGCACATTTGAGAAACAAGTTTTATTTTACATCCTAAGTTTTAATATTTGCCTGACATGACATACCCTTTTAGTTTACAAAGACAGGATAGTAGACTTTTTCTCTACTTTTGTCTAGACAGAATACTGGAGTATATCATCCATACAAAGATGGAAAACTCCCATTTTAAGAAGCACATCTGTGTTGTGCTGCATTCTTCCAGAAACAGTATTTCATCTGCCCTGTGAATTTTTCACATAGCCATCTATGTGAACCTCATATGGCTATTTACACATATGAGGAAATAAATTTATTCTATTACATGGGGGTACCTTACTAGTTCTACACCTTAATCCATTGAATAATTTAAAATCTTAACATAGGAAATAAGGAAAACCACATTGCTAAGATTTCTTAAGACAAGAACAGACTGGTAAGAGGAAACAGCTTGTGTTTAGACTTTAAATGACACAATCAAAATTAGGAAGTTCCTTCCTATAGAATACTCTGCAAATAGGGGCAGCTCAGGCAGATTTAATACTGACCTAAATTATGATACCAAACTCTAAAAACATTCAAGAATAACATTAGTTCTAAACTCAAATTCTCTATCAGACAGAAAATACAGTCCATAAAAATGCCGTAATAACTCTCAGTAGTACAGGAACACGAAGCTGCAAATTAAAAAATACTTACTGCTGTCACTAACTTGATGGCACATAACTGTAGTTCACTGACATTTTCTACAAAGAAAGGTGTTATTCCCATAGATGATACCTATCAATGGAAATAAATTGTTGTAAACATATTTGACTAACAAAATTGTATTTATGCCGTTTCACAAGGAAGTTATTCTTTCAGCATGTAAAGCAGTCAGCAAGATGTGTTACTTGCAAAACATATAAAGGGATTTTAGAGCACAGGTCTGATGAGAAGTGGCTGGGGGAACTAGGATTGTTTAGCCTGGAGACAAGGGGGCTCAGGGGATACCTCTCATCACTCTCTACAACTATTTGGAAGGAGGTTGTAGCAAGGTGGAAGTCAGTCTTCTCCCAAGAAACAAGTGATAGGACAAGAGGAAAAAGCTCAATTAATGCCAGGTGAGGTTTAGATTGGATATTAGGAAAAACTTCTGCATGGAAAGGATTGTCAAGCATTGGAACAGGCTGCCCAGGGAAGTGGTGGAGTCACCATCCCTGGAGATATGTGAAAGACATGTAGATCTGGCACTAAGGGACATGGTTTAGTGGTGGACTTGGCAGTGTTAGGTTAATGGTTGGACTTGATGATCTTAAAGGCCTTTTCCAACCTAAATGATTCTATGATTCTGTTCTATGTATGACATTATTCAATTGCACACATCAAACTATTAACTTTAAATACCAAAAATATTTTCAGTAATCAAAAGAGATGCAAAATATTAATACAACACAAACACACACAACCACCTCACCAAAAATATCTAGAAAAACTAAGATATTTTATCGTACAGTTAATGGTGCTGAAACTAAAAATTACCAAGTTAAAGCATAATGGACAGAATATATTATGTTACATAGATACATAGTCCATATATGTGGCACTTTGGGATATAGTTTAGCAGTGGACTTGGCACTGTTGGGCTAACAGTGATCTTAAAGGTCTTTTCCAACTTAAATGATTCTATGATTTTGTATTTTAATACAATCAGGTTAAAATTTTCTTAAGTGTACAAGAAAAGCCATTGAAGAACTGAACATTAAATGCTCTCTCCTGCAGATTACCTCCTACACAACAAACTAGTCACAGCAATGTTAGTAATTTGAAAGTTTGTACTGAGTTCATATTTTGTGTCACTGAGACAATCATTCTTCATATTGTCTCTAGGAAAATAAAAAACCAACAGAATTTTTCTGATAGAGCTTACCTGAAGAATAGTCGTATCAGTAAGAAGCTGTATCTCCAGCAACTCTGACAAGCTACTCACAATGTCGCAAACTTTGTTATACAGCATCACTATAACTCTTTGCTTGTGGGTGGAACACTTGGCACGTTTTGCTTTTGAGCTTAAAACACCACCTAGAAAACAAAAAATATCTTCATTAATTTTTTCAATGTTTCACATGAAATACAAGAAATACGATCTTTCTAAAAAGTGCCCTCAAAAAACTGGATGACTACAGCTTTGTAAAAGCAATTGCTCACAAAAGAAGAACTATTTAGTAGCATCAGCTGGAAAGCAAGAATTTCACATGATATTAATTTTCCATAATTGCTCTAAATTCTGGATCCAAGGTTTTTGAAAAGGTTCTTGCAGTTGATACTTGCATCTAAAGGTATGCATGAGACCACAAAACATTAAAGGCTAAATAGCTTTCACTGAACTAAATCATTATATACACAGAAAACAACTATAAAATGAATCATTCCTACATACACCAGAAGCTGAACTTCAGACAAACTTCGAAATACCTTAGTCTAAATACTTTGGTTACACTGACATTATTACAGTAAACCGAGATTTTGTATGAGTTAAGTTATTCGGAGGACATGTTTCATTCATTGTTTTTTCACTCCACATTTCATCATCCTCACACTAACACAAAGCATTAATTCACAATGCTGTATGTGATATGTAAGAACTACCAGTATGAAAGCCGCATAAGAAAATCTTATTCCAGTAAGTCGTATCACTCCATCATCATACAGTAGATTGTGTTTTGGTATTTTTTAATGTGGAAAGATTAAAAAAAAATTTCTTAGCATACTAACCACCATGAGGATCCACTCTATACACAGGATCATACTGAGGGTAGAGTGTGTTCTGCAAATGAAATTTTGTGTATTGAATAACTCTTTCTATTACGTCCTCAATATATACAGCTTTAGGCATATTTGGTGATGTCATAATATTGATAGCAGTAAGACAAGCATCAGCAGATTTTGTCGCTCTTTCCATAATAAGATCTCTCCATAATCTCTCCTCATCTTCAGTGTCATTGTTCTGTAACAGGCATGAAAAACAGGATAATGTGAAGAAGTAAAATTTTTATCCTTATCAAGTAAAAGATAATAACATTAAATTAATACACTTACATACATGCATGTATAAAATGTTTTATTTCCTTTTTGATACAAAACCAGTCTGTTTTAGAAATCAAGTAACGTTCGTACTACCAGCAACATGTTTGTAGTATGTCTCCCTAAGTCACAAGTCTTTAAAAAGTCTCACTGTCTTTTTCTGCTAGAACACAAAGCAGCTTTCTGTGTATCATTTGGAACTTCTCACTGTAAAGGAAGACTGCAATTCCTTAAGCAAAATCTAAACTCATTCATCCAGAGTTGTCTTCAGTGGCCTATGCACACCAGGTGTTGCTTTGATCAGTCTAATTTTTGCCACTAGAGGGAATTCTTACACAAAAAGACTGTTACAAGTTACAAAAAACTAAGTACACAACTTTCTCTGCTTCACTGGCCAACCTATCCATGGTTTTAAAACATATCTTATTAACTGTGTGCATTTAGATATGCACAGGGCACAGAATCTCTGTATTTCTGTTTGTCCAAGGTACAAAAGCTAATATACATGAAGTTAACTATGACCACCCAGCAGTATCTAAAACATTATTTATAGCAAAACTAGATAGAATTTTTCATAGTTTCTCTGGTTCAGATAAAAACCCACTGAGAAAAATAATCTTCCTTGCCTATATGACGCCACAGTTCAGAACTATTGGCTTTCCTTGTAAAAGTAAGAGAATCTAAAACAGTATCACAGTGCCTTATAAATACAATAGATACATTTGTAAAATCAACAGAAATCTGAAAATCAGGAGATCCCTGTAAATTTCTTGCACAGACTGGCTTTAAGTCATTTGTTCCTTACCCAAATGAAGCTTAAAAAAACCCCCGAAACCCCACGTAGTTTTAAATACTTTCTTTCCTTCCCCCCTCCCCTCCCCTTCATTAATTTTGGAAATAAAAAGAATACACAAGTGCGCTCCTGCCTCTGGAAAACAACTTGACATGGAGGTAGGATATCTTCACTGAAGCAAGCTTATTCTTTAGCAGAGGTTTTCTTTGCCGTAATGATTTGAATCATCTTCAAAATGTTTGAAGAAAATTCTAAAACTTGTTTGGCTAAAGAGTGCTTTTTTTTTCCTAATCAAAGCTTTGTCTCTGAATTGCAATACTTGGACAATTTAATTAGCTGCTTAATAATCTTGAGTTTTAGCATAAAAAGCTAAAGAAAAATATCACTTTAAAGCCATCTGCATAAAGACTTAATCATACTGAAATAGAGCAGGTAAACCAGCTTTTTTTTTTCCTTTTCATTTATTTTTCATACTGCTAAAGACATTCAGAACCATATACCGAAACTTTGAAAACCCTACAAACCATCTAGATGAAAGTACTTAGGTACTAATAATGTGTCTCTGGTTTTCACTTGCAAGTTCAAATTCTTCCATTTGAACACAAATAATTACTCTCTATTTATGCAGATCAAACACTTTTTTTTATAAAACTCAAGAACTCTGTTCTTGCCAGAATATTATTTTGACTAGAAAGTGTAGAAACAGCTATGCAATATCACATACCAACCTCATTAAAACTCAATCCCCATATATTTTAGGTATATCAGGAAAAAGATGGAAAAATCTTAGACTTCCTGATAGTTTTGTTTACATTGACGATTTTACCTTTGCAGCATAAAACCAGACTTAAAGTTTCATTTCTTAATGCTCAGGAGAATACGCTCTGTGTGAAAGCTCTAGTACTTCTTTCATTGTGTAAGGGACGTTCTATGCACATGTAGTGAAGTATCAAAGAAATGTCCAGTGGTGTAAATTGCACCAGTTACCATGAATATTTCAGGATTAAACTATAATATTTAAAATTGAACCCCCACCCCCCCACACTTCCCACCCACAAAACACCTAGTATA